TCAGGGATCTGCGAGGTTGCAGTAGAATGACGTGGTTGAGCCGTAGCAGGTGTAATCGGCTGTGACACTCACTCCTGGCACGTAGAGGACGGTCTGAATGGCGACCTCCATCAGGCTGTCGAAGGCACCTTTGATGTAAATCCTCGGCGATATTGGATTGTTCTCGGTTGCCTCCAGGAACGCTTCGGTGACGTTCAGGCACTCGGTTCTCTGCGCGCTCATCGTTGGGCTCCACTGCGAGACACGATTCGTCGCCGTGTTCCAGAGGTTGAACTTCATCGCGAAGCCTCCCACGCACCTTACGCAGATGTTGTCCGCGGGGAACGGGGCCTTCCAGTCGTGCATGTAAGGCCCCCACTGGCCGTACCCCGGGCGCGGGTTGTCGGCCTGAGCAGCCGGGCTGCGGGGCGACAGGAGCCGGCGCCCCCCCTGGAGCAGCTCCACCGCCAGGGCGTCCACGGAGGCCTCCTCGACCGCCTCGACGTCCTCCTGCGCGCACACCTCGTCGGGCCCGCAGCCCAGCTCGCCAGCAGCGCCGCGGTCGAGCAGGGCGGCCAGGAGGAGGGCGCGGAGGGCGGCGCCGCGCGGCTTCATTCTGCTGGTCGCTCGGGGCAGGCGGGCGATCGGGGCCGGAATCGCCAGAGTCAAAACTGCTTTGAGCCAAAAAAGCTCGAGTCAAAATAGCTACGGACCGCGTGTGGCGGGGATGCTGCTGGAGCGCTTGGCGAGCCGACGGCCGTCGGACGCGGCGTTCAGCTGCTCGGCCGAGGTCTGCCGCAGGGCGCTCAGGCAGGCAGGTGCTGACATGGGCGTACCTGCCTTCCCGCCGCACGCCGCTCGACACTCGGGGCCGAGCCATGACGCGGCGACCGGCTACCGGAAAGTGTGGGCCATTCAGCGTCGAAGACGCTGGGCATCGGAGAAGAGAGCCCTCAGGTATATGCAGACGCACGCTCTGGTCCCCGCGGAGCCGCTTTGGTCAGTACAAACAAATGACGCGCTGCCGCGCGGACCCGATCTGCCGAGCAAGCAAGTCGAGCGCCCAGAGAAAGTGCGCGAACGAGCCCGACCCTGGACATGGCCACAGACAGATACTCCAAATTTCGTAATAAAAGGGAGGGGGTCTCATTTCGGGAGGGGTCTCTTCCAGGCTATCTGGAGGGCCTGGGGGGGTCTGGGGACGAAGTTTTGGAGGGTCCAGACCCCCTCCCTTTTATTACGAAATCTGGAGTACTTCTATCAACTGTTCTGCGCGGAGCCTTGGGCAGGCAGCTCGAAGGCGGCAGGACCTGGGCGCCCACCCGCCCATCCCTGGCGCCCGGTCCTGCCAGGTGCTTTGAGGTTTGAAGCCGTGGTGCGGATTGTGCTCCGGCGTCTGGGGCTCTCGACTCGTATCCTTGCCCCAGCCCACCCAGCGCTGACCAGACAGAGATGCCGCTCTTGGCATCATCTCCGATCGCGTGTCGGGATCAGGCCGAACAACGTGAATTTGTTTGGACAGGCTGGCGTCACTTCCTCCGCCGCCCCTTCACTTGGGTGAGGTCATTCTGGACGGGGCGCCTCTAAATCGACGCTGCAAACGATTGCAACATCGCAAAAACAACAACCAGAGACCCCATATTACAGCCAACCCGTACAATGAGAACGCACGATAAGGATGCAAGGGCCTTAGAAGACCATTTCGAAGCTTTTCGAGCGGGGCGCGGCCAGCGAAAATGGCCAAGGATGGGCCGAAGGGGCCAGGATGCAAGGGTACCCTTGGGCAGGATGCCGATCCTGAATATTCGGGTTGACTGTAATGCGGCATGTTTCGAGCAGGATCGATCTGAAATGGTCCCAGGGCCCGAATCTGGACGAAGACGCAGTGTGGAGAAAATGAGACGCCAACACCGTAGGGCAACTCGACTGGAATCTAGGTCGGACCTCCACGTTGAAGGCCTTCTGATCTTCAGGGTGTGCCCATGGGGGACGGGACCGGCCAAGGGCCCCTGGCGCTAATGAGCCTCTTTTCCACCACCACCACCACCACCATAAGTTGGACGGGGGAAGGAGGAGGAGGGGGAGGAGGAGGAGGAGGAGGAGGAGGAGGAGGAGGAGGAGGAGGAGGGAGGAGGACCCCCCTCCTCCAGCTTATGGTGGTGGTGGTGGAAAACACGCCCATCAGGCGGCGCACGGATTGGCTCTGCCCGCCTTCGGAAGCTCAGAGGGTCCCAACGCCGCGCGGTGACAAACCGCGCCGCGGCCTCGAGGTCCCGAGGGGCCTCCCCGCACGGCCCATCGCCACGCGGCCCCGGGACCCTGGAGGGCCCCGTCGTCCGAGACGCCCTCGGGAAAACCACCCGGGCCCCACAGCCGCGCGGTGACCCCGAGTCCTCACCAGCTCACCGCACGGCGCGGTCGCCGCACCGTGCGGGCCTCCCCGCAGAGGCTTCGCCCCGTGGCGAGGCGAGGGGGCCCCGTGGCGAGGCGAGGGGGGCCCGCCCGTGGGACCCTTCGCTTGCGCGATTGCAACCCGGTGTTAATCCCCCACCGACAATCAACGTGAACAGCCCCAAAATCAAATTCAATGTGCAAGTCAAAATCAATGTGCTATCCATGTGCAACTTAATTTTGATTGGACGGGATGGGATTTCCAGAGGCAGCGCCTTGGGGCCGCGTAACCTTACCAGTAAAACAAGTTTAAAAAAACGGTAAGCACAAAAGCTTGTGTTATCACATTGCAAATAGCTAGGAAGTCCTGTGACTGACGGTATTTTCATGGCGCAGACGCTCCGCAATTAAAATCCGTGTGTAGAAGCCTTTACAAAAAGATTCCTTATGTGGCGACCTTACAAACGGATTTCAAGTGCGGCCTCCACAATGAACATCCATTCATAGCAACCTGTACAAAATGGATTCCTTTTGTGGCGGCCTTACAAAAGGATTTTAATTGCGGTGGGATCGGCAGTGGCGGCAACTTGATCCCAGGAAAGTTAAAGGAAAACAAGAAAAACAAGGAGAACATCAAAAACAATGTCTTCACTAGGAAGCGTAAGAAAAAGCTAGAAAGACCTGTGACTGTCTGTAGTTTTATGGCGCAGTCGCTCCACACTTGAAGTCAGTGTATAGCAGCCTTAAAAAAAGGATCCCTTGGCGATCTTACAAACGGATTGCAAGTGTGGGGGATCTGCAGTGGCCTCCACAATGAAAGTCCATTCATAGCAACCTGTACACAGGGATTCCTTGTGTGGCGGCCATACAAAAGGATTTAAGTGTAGGAGGATCTGCAATGGCGGTACCTTGAGCCCAAGGAACCAGAAAGGAAAACATGAAAAAACAGGAACAAGTCGGTGTCTTCACAGGGAAAATAAGGTAAAGCTGGGAAGATCTTTGATTGTCGGTATTTTCATGGTGCAGACGCTCCACACATCAAATCCTTGTGTAGCAGCCTTTACAGAAAGGAATCGGCTTGTGGCGACCTTGTATAAGGATTTCAAGAGTGGGGGATCTGCAGTGGCCTCCACAATTAAAACCCTCTCATAGCAGCCTGTACAAAATGGATTCCATTTCTGGCGGCCTTACAAAATGGTTTCCATTGTGGTGGGGGTCACACGGCTACGAGTCAAAAGGATTTTCATTGTGGTTTCCATTTATAATGGCTTACAAAAGGTTTACAAGCTAAAGAGGGCAGCACGAAACACAGGGAAAACAGGACAAAGCCTGTGGACTCACATGGAAACATGAGAAAAAAACGAAGAAGACCTGGGACGGTAGGTATTTTTTCACAAAACACTCACGTGACTGCAGGTACTTGCTATGGTGCAGAGCACTCACAGGTTTCCTGGGCTGAAGGTGCCGCCACTGCAGATCCTCCCGCAATTAGAACCACTGTGCATGACCGCCACCAAATAAACCCCTTTTGCGCAGGCTGCTACGAAAGGATTCTAAATGTGGAGGCCACTGCAGATGCCCCACACTTGCAATCCTTTCATAGGGTCGCCACAAAAGGAATCCTTTTGTAAAGGCTGCTATACACGGATTTTAAGTGTGGAGCGACTGCACCATAAAAATACCGACAGTCAAGGGTCATCCTAGCTGCTCCTACTTTTCCCAATGAAAACACGGTTGTTCCTGTTTACTCATGCTTTCCTCTGTAGCTTTCCTGGGATCAAGGTGCCGCCACTGCCGATCCCACCGAATTTAAAATCGTTTTGCAAGGCCGCCACAAAAGGAAGCCTTTTTTTTGTAAAGGCTGCTACAGAAAGATTTGTAACGTGGAGGCCAGTGCAGATCCCGCACAATGAAGATCCGTTTGCAAGGTCGCCGCAAAAGGAATCTTTCTGGAAAGGATACTACAAAGTATTTCACTTGTGGAGCGTCTGCACTGTGAAAATACAGACAGTCACAAGTATGCCTAGCATGTTTGCACTTTTAGCTGTGCAAACGTAAGTTTTGTCCCTGCTTTCCTGTTGTCCTGTTTCCCTCTTTAGCTATCCTGGGTACAACATGCCGCCACTGCAGCTCCCCCCACAGTGATTTTTTTGTTGTAAGGCCGCCACAAAAGAAATCCTTCTGGTAAAGGCTGCAAAAAAATAAGCCTGACGAAGGACCCAACCATGTGTAGCTGCGAGTGCCGCGTTGTGGGTACCACTTTCGGTGGAGCTCCCTGTGGGGAACCGGAGCGTGCGAGGGGTGCGCCGAAATCGGTGGCGCGGACATATGCGGACCCTGCCACTGGAGCCTTCGGTGGAGCTCCCTATGGGGCCACGGAACGCTGTACTGGGTGGCGGTGACGCATGCGGACACTACAACTGGAGCCTTCGGTGGAGCTCCCTATGGGGCCACGAAACGCTGTCCTGGGTGGCGATGACGCATGCGGACACTGCCACTGGAGCCTTCGGTGGAGCTCCCTACGGGGCCACGAAACGCCGTCCTGGGTGGCGGTGGCGCATGCGGACACTGCCACTGGAGCCTTCGGTGGAGCTCCCTATGGGGCCACGAAACGCTGTCCTGGGCGGCGGTGACGCATGCAGACACTGCCACTGGAGCCATCGGTGGAGCTCCCCATGGGGCCACGAAACGCTGTCCTGGGTGGCGGAAACGCATGCGGACACTGCCACTGGAGCCTTCGGTGGAGCTCCCTATGGGGCCATTAAGCGCTGTCTTGGGCGGCGGTGACGCATGCAGACCCTGCCAGTGGAGCCGTCGGTGGAGCCCCCTAACGGGCCACGAAACGCTGTCCTGGGTAGCGGTAGCGCATGTGGACCCTGCCACTGGAGCCTTCGGTGGAGCTCCCTATAAGGCCAATAAGCGCTATCATGGGTGGCGGTGACGCATGCGGACCCTGCCATTGGAGCCGTCGGTGGAGCCCCCTAAGGGGCCACGAAACGCTGTCCTGGGTGGCGGTAGCGCATGCGGACCCTGCCACTGGAGCCTTCGGTGGAGTTCCCTATGAGGCCACTAAACGCTGTCATGGGTGGCGGTGACGCACGCGGACACTGCCACTGGAGCCTTCGGTGGAACTTCATATGGGGCCGCGAAACGCTGTCCTGGGTGGCGGTGACGCATACGAACGCATCCACTTGGGCCTTCGGTGAAGTTCCCTATGGGGCCAC